ATGCACCATAATTTCCTATTGTATCTTTCTCCCACATAAAATAGCACCATGCAAATGTTCCAATATTTGTTAGCATTTCCTGAAAAGCAGTGAGTTGATGTGTTATCTTTTCCCATGTTGGTGTTATTTCGTTGAAGAGAAGGTCAATAGAATTCATTCTATCTGTTGTGATTTGTAATAACAATAAAATGCTTTCAGCCGAGGAATCCACGTTTTCGCTGGAGAAATGGAATAATAAATTAATAGAATTTAAGTAAGAATATAAAATTCATAAACTTACGTTTCATTTAAGATATAGTAACCAAGAAGCGTGATTCCGATAGTAGAAAGATGATGAATGATTAATGGGATTCGCATTTTTGGACGATATATTAATTCAAAGATATACCTATTAATAAAAAATTAATAATTTACTACTAGTTGATGCCGAGTATAATTATATTTCCAAGATTGCTACTTACAAGTCCATGATAACTAGTGTGGCTAGCTGTAGAAGACAATAGTCATCATATGTCCAATCTTTCCCGTAAATTCGGTGTATCATTATTAAGATTACAAAGCAGATAGTGGTGAATATGATCTCCAGTATATATGTCACACAATTTTTCATATGAGTATTATTAATGTTCGGGTCGATCCGTTTCAGCATAATTTCGAGGAGCTTCGCCATTATGTAAAAAATAAGAAATAATATTACGTGGTTTATTGTAAAAAAATAAACCGTGATTTGGCGGACTATAATGAACAAAGCATATAATATTAGTCGATATTTGTGTAATTATTTTCGAAGGCGGACCGGGAATTTTCTGGCGTGATCCTAAAATATATACTATATATGTATTGTTTAAAAGTTGGGTCCGAAAAAATCATATCTAGCATTTTTGTCGCCTTCAAAAATAATTTCCCATTTAGTTGATTCAGGTATTTGATTTAACCTCAATTACCTTTGTCGTCGCCTATCTGCTTTAGCTCTTGAAGTTCTTGAAGTTCTTGTGGTGAAAGTGAGGAGGCCATTTTCAATTTTTCTTTTTGTCTTTTATCAAGCTCACCGATTTTTGGAGTTAGGCAGTTCTTCTTATCCCAGCCTCCTTTTTATATATCTCTCTCAATTACTTGTATTACAGATTCTTTGTTAAATCCTAGCCATTCTTGGATTTACAAAGAAATTCGAACAGATGGGTATTTGGAACGCCAGATGAGGAAAAATAACTACGGATTAG